CATGTCCGTCCGTCCGACAATCGAACCATGTAAGTGGGATCCTCGTGTGCTCGGGCAGTTGAGGGCCTGTAGGGTACGGATTTGGAGATGGTTCAAGAAACTTATGTGATCAGTCTGATCTTCATATAGGTTTCACGCTCGAGCGCCGAGCGTGTCGAAGATAAGAGTTCCCTTCCTACTACGCTCAGCAGCCGTGGACATTTTTGGGAAAAACTTTATGTGAGAACTCTACTTGCAATCTCAGTATTTCTTATTCTAGGCGATAGTAACGACGACTATGGCGGCTTAACTGTGAGCTTGCAATTGATTAAATTGGCGCCCAGACACAGATTCGGGTAGATTGTTAATGTCGGTGGATTAAGCTTCCCCGCTCGAGCGGGAACGACCAAAATTGGAAAATCTAGAAAACTTGATCCTATTACAACCTCGGTTTTGATCCATGGAAATTGACAAAGGCACGATTCGGGTTGGATTCGCATCAAAACACTAATAGCCTCACTGAAATAAAAATGCGAAAACAAATACAACTGAAAGGAGTTTTGTCAAACGGGATTGTCAAGAATAAAACCTAACACCTATATAAATAACAAGTCTTTCATTTGGATTTTCACTTAATTTTCATCCTCAATTCTGCTATTGCTCTCTCTGCATTTTGCTGCATTATTTTCCTGCGAGAGCCTTGCCTTAAACTGATTTTGTGCATATTTTAGACTGACCTAGCTCTGTTTTTGGGTTATTTTAAACAATGTTGTTTGTTTTGCATGCTTGTAGTTCAATGTCCATGCTTAGTTTTGAGTTTCGAGGTGTAACGCCCTCAAAATAATAACAATAAACCCATCAGGTGAGCGCCAACACCTCCGCTCGAGCGTACAGGCCAAATTCTGGGCAACTAGTTTTGGTTTCTAAACTCAACCAACCTGTAACCAACCCGCCCAACACATCCTATAACTCAAATACAAAGTAAGAAAGGATGTAAACAAGATAATAAACAACTACCAACATCCACGGACACATGTCCGGATCACTATACAACAAGGGTAAATCCGGGATCGCTATACAAACTTAAAAAAATTGACATAATTAGGGATGGATATGGTAAACCTCTTTCAAGGGGTGTATATAGTAAAATTTCCCTATTAGAACTCAGGTTGAATAATATGACAAGGATGTGCATCAAATGATGTTGAAGTTGTATATGATGAGATTCATACCCAGGAAAACGTGAAAAATCGAGTGTGTAGTGTGGATTCTAAATTAGTGCGGTTGCAAGTATACCTAGAATGAATATGTTCACATTTTATTTTCTGTCATTTTTTCCAAGTGTAGTATTTTAAAACCTGCAAATCAAGTAATGTTCTACATTTTAAAACCAGCAATTCATCAGTCTCTTGATCTCTACGGGTTGTTCACCCCTTATTCCACATCAGTGATTATACCCGACAACAAAGTATATCTGGATCTCTGCAATTCAAGTCATGCCCCATAACAACACAGTATCACTGACTCTATTATTCAAAACATGTAGTTCATTTCTAGCTAATTACAAAGTAACTTGGAAAACAAAACAGTTCTGATTTACAAAAAAATGAAAAAAAGTATCGTCTGTGTTTCCTAAATCGCTCCGGACTTAGGGAGCAAGCAAATCATATCTTTGGTAAGAGCAGCAATTTTCAGATTCTACGTCTCCCAATTCTGGTGTGCACTGTGCACTATATTCGTCACTTGCTATTAAGCCGAACGCAATGAGCAACAAAAACATTTCTGCAAAATCTGATGTTTTGCAGCACAATGCTCTTGTTTATCAACCTCTTGTAGTCTGAAAACTCCAAGTTAATTGCATTTCTCACCAATTATATTGAAAATATCAGCGACAAAAGCACTCTCCACAAAGCATCTCTCACCATTCCACCTAAGGGAAAGCAAATAAATGCAGCAAAATATCAGGTGAACACCTTCCCAATGCTGAATATTTTAATACAAATTGGTGATGATCTAAATCCATATGCAATAGCCAAGTCAATGTAATGAAAAATGGCATATCGATTAGTTTCTTTCAGCCTCATTTTCATAGCAATTAAAATTTATCAAATGTGAAGAATGTTCTCATCTTTCATAATTGAGAAGGCAACAATACATCCTACAGATAGATTAAATTTTCTGTTAGCATCATGAATATCAAACATGCAACGTAGATCATATGGCTCTCCACAATAGCAGGCATTCTTCATTTTGGGTAATATTTGGTTGATCAGTGTACGTCCAATGTGAAGTTTACAAGTGTAGTGAAAAGCAAAGCAAATCATAAACATTGGAGGAGGCAATTCTTTAATTTCTGGCGTTATGAAATTCTACAAACTCAAAACAATTCACACAAACATGTTTTTGTATAGGTATGAGATCTTAAATTTGAGTAATCCAAACATAACCCTAAAAACACAATACATCAAAATTCAAAACCTCCTTCACTTGTCAACCTATGTGGAAGTGGCTTTGATTAGCGTCTTGGTGTTCATGACAAGTTCATCAATTAGGGCACCAATCTCATCCTGAGAAGGAAGATTTGACGAATGACTTGCTTTCCCCTTGAAAAACTTGCCGACATTAGAGTATTTTGACCATCATCATAAGAAATGCCACTGCCCATTCCATAGCCAAACCTCATCCCGACTCCATGGGAGCGGGGTCACTGCTGTGCAGTGTTCCCTGCTGTGCGGTTTCAGTCTTTTTTTTTTTTTTTTTCTTTTGACGTGATAAATTGCAAGAAAATAACTCATAAAACGCTGCCATTTTATTAACACAGCAGGAACAGCAGTGAGGAATCACAGCAGTGACCCCTCATCCCGACTCCACGTCCAACTCCAAGCTGTAAGCCGCAGATTCCGGGACTGAATCCAGTGCCGCCAATGAGGCCAATGTCGAGGCCGACACCACAGCTGGTGCCGATTCTAAAGGCAGGTCCTAGCTTCCCTAATTACTTCAATTTTATCACTTGAAGCCTTCATAGCAAACCCTTGTCTTTGTTTCCTGCTCCGATGTTTATCTCTTTTCCCTCTCGAACAAAAAAAAAAAGAAGTTGAAACTGTGCTGTTTTAGGCACAGCAGGATCATAGCAGTGGAGGGTCACAGCAATGACCCCGGATCCTTCAGGGAGTTAGTGAAAAGATTATGATACACGTTCTTATAATTAAACAAAAAAATAATATAACTTCACACTTTGTGAGTCATAACCAAAAAAAAAAAAGATCACAACCAAACACTATATGAGGCATAACCAAACTTAAAAAAATTGACATAATTAGGGATGGATATGGTACACCTCTTTCAAGGGGTGTATATAGTAAAATTTCCCTATTAGAACTCAGGTTGAATAATATAACAAGGATGTGCATGAAATGATGATGAAGTTGTATATGATGAGATTTATACCCAAAAACGTGAAAAATCGAGTGTGTAGTGTGGATTCTAAATTAGTGCGGTTGCAAGTATACCTAGAATGAATATGTTCTACACATTTTATTTTCTGTCATTTTTTTTCCAAGTGTAGCATTTTAAAACCTACAAATCAAGTAATGTTCTACATTTTAAAACCAACAATTCATCAATCTCTTGATCTCTATGGGTTGTTCACCCCTTATTCAACATCAGTGATTATACCCAACAACAAAGTATATCTGGATCTCTGCAATTCAAGTCATGCCCCATAACAACACAGTATCATTGACTCTATTATCCAAAACATGTAGTTCATTTCTAGCTAATTACAAAGTAACTTGGAAAACAAAACAGTTGTGATTTACAAAAAAATGAAAAAAAGTATCGTCTGTGTTTCCTAAATCGCTCCGGACTTAGGGAGCAAGCAAATCATATCTTTGGTAAGAGCAGCAATTTTCAGATTCTCCGTCTCTCAATTCTGTTGTGCACTATACACTATATTCGTCACTTGCTATTAAGCCGAACGCAATGAGCAGCAAAAACATTTCTGCAAAATCTGATGTTTTGTAGCACAATGCTCTTGTTTATCAACCTCTTGTAGTCTGAAAACTCCAAGTTAATTGCATTTCTCACCAATTATATTGAAAATCATATCTTTGGTAAGAGCAGCAATTTTCAGATTCTACGTCTCCCAATTCTGTTGTGCACTGTGCACTATATTCGTCACTTGCTATTAAGCCGAACGCAATGAGCAGCGAAAACATTTCTGCAAAATCTGATGTTTTGTAGCACAATGCTCTTGTTTATCAACCTCTTGTAGTCTGAAAACTCCAAGTTAATTGCATTTCTTACCAATTATATTGAAAATATCAGTGACAAAAGCACTCTCCACAAAGCATCTCTCACCATTCCACCTAAGGGAAAGCAAATAAATGCAGCAAAATATCAGGTGAACACCTTCCCAATGCTGAATATTTTAATACAAATTGGTGATGATCTAAATCCTCATTTTCGATTAGTTTCTTTCAGCCTCATTTTCATAGCAATTAAAATTTATCAAATGTGAAGAATGTTCTCATCTTTCATAATTGAGAAGGCAACAATACATCCTACAGATAGATTAAATTTTCTGTTAGCATCATGAATATCAAACATGCAATGTAGATCATATGGCTCTCCACAATAGAAGGCATTCTTCGTTTTGGGTAATATTTGGTTGATCAGTGTACATCCAATGTGAAGTTTACAAGTGTAGTGAAAAGTTTCAAATCATGAACATTGGAGGAGGCAATTCTTTAATTTCTGGCGTTCACATGGCATGAGTTTTCAATGCTGCAAAGATCTATAAATGACGTGAAAAAGTCAACGCTAACTTCTTCAGTGTTGATGTGATTATGTGGGAAGTTGGATAATTAAGAAGCTGAATACAGTATAATCTAATGATACTACATTCAAAAGTTGATTTTGATGATTTCTAAAAAAAGATGAGAATTAAACAACCTTATTATGAAGAGTGGGGGTTGGAGTTCTTGTCCTAACATACCAGGCTCTCTCTCTCTCTCTCTCTCTCTCTTCATTTTTTCCCTCATAAAACAAGTGCAGCATGAGAATGAAAACTTGTCATTACTTCATAGGAAGAGTTTATTCGGAGTAATGTAGCAGATTAGGAATAAGTAAAAATGCAGTATTTCTAGAGATAAACTGTCGGTGATTTCTTAAAAGGAAGTGTCATTGTCTAGTGCAAGAAGATCAAAAGCAACAACCACATTTGTTGCGAAAGGTTTCCCTTATAAGTTGAATTTTTAATATTTATGTTATGGCTCTACTCTTTCTTAAATGAGATCAAGCTTAGTAGAGCATTGAATGGACCTCTAGTACTTATTAGATGGCTAGGCTTTCTTAGGTAAGACAAATAAACGTACACGACAAACTAAAAAAATGAACAAACAAGGGACATATTGAATTAGTCTACCAGGAATGGGGACTAAGCACTGTTTCTGAACATGCAAAAAGTTCAGAGGGCGTTCGAAATCAATACGAACACTTCCCACCCAGACCTATCTACCCTATGTATTCAAGGGGGAGCCTGCAACTGAAAAAGACCTGGTTCCACACATATAAGACAAGCAGAAGGTATGGGATGGCCAGTTCACCAACAAAAGTGAATTTGATCCTAACAAGGTGCGGTTGCAAGTTCATAGGGAACCAAGACTGATAGTTTAGACAATGGTATTACCTGAGGCCGATTGTCTTGATGTGCAATAGAGAGCTCCTCACAAAAAAAATAATTTTAGTACTTATTCTTCACCCATGTGGAATTTCAGGAAGAATGGAACAACATTCCTTGTGGTCACTCTGTCTAAATACTTTATATTAGAAAAAGTACAAAAAACAAATCAATGCAGGGAAATTTAATCTACCATTGTTTTACAGGAAAGAACTTCATATTTAATCTAGAAAATAGTTCCAGGGGAGGGAGAAAGAAAAGGATATAAAAGAAGACCTTTTCTGGCACTCTCTAATTGAAGAAAATTCAACTAAACTTTTTTTTTTTTGATAAGTAGAATATTCAACTAAACTTCACCAATGCCATGTTTGGATCTTGGATTTGTAGAGGAAAAAGACAAGGGAAGAGATAGGAAAAGAGAATCAAGTGAAAGAAGTTAAATCCATTTCCCTATTATTTTCCTTTCCTTTGATAAATTCAAGATCCAAATGAGTACACTACTTGCTAAAAGTATAAGGGTATACCGCAAAAACTAGAGCATATAATTTAACTGAGCCAAGATATATTGATCAAATGGGAAGAAAAGTGCAATGCATAATACCAATTCATACTAGCACCTTCCCAGTTCATATTTTCACTGCAATTTTCAAAAGCATCCATTATGAAAGGAATTTACACAAGAAAAATGAATAACTATAAAGCTACATTGTAATGTTCAATCTCTAATAATCAATAACCTGTATTTTCAAATGCTTATGTCACTCTGCCCATTTACCCCATAAAAAGGAAGCAACATCAATACACACACCAAATAAGAAAGAACTTACTATGGTGACAAATCCATCTCAAGCGAGCTAATCAGTGCATCACCACCAGGACTATCCTCAATGTCTGAGTTGAAAAAGCTCAAAGACTCGTGAATTCCCTCGGATTGATCCCCTTCATAACCCTCCACGGAGGGCTTCAATTTCTGCCTAAAAAATCTCAATTGGTCTTCCAAAAGACCCCTCTCTGATTCGTGCTTCATTACAATCCATCTTAATGAATGGATCACTTCTTGATCACGGAGTTGCTTTTCCTCGGTCAATCTCCGGTACTGATTGGCCTCCATTTCAATCAAGCTCTTGTCATTTTGAAGTTTTAAAATCATTGCCATTGCCTCCTCAGCAGCAGTCGCAGCTGCTAACCTCTCCTTCTCGAGTTCCAAATAAGCAGCATTAGCTCTTTGCCTCTCAATCCTCACCAATTTTCTCAATGCCATGACATCAACTTCTTCATCTTCCTCATGACATTCTTGTTCATCACTGTCATCACCATATTCCTCATTTGAAGCTTTGAAATCACCATTTCCATTTGCAATTTTTGGAGTTTCCTCCAATTCACTTTCCAAACTTTCCAAAAGTGAAATCCTTGTGTTGCATTTCCTATTAACACATTTTTTCGAACAAAATCCATTTCTCAAATCACCTGATTTCTCTCCAAAATAATCATTTAAAACAATATTTGCTTTGACATCACCATTTCCATTTGCAACATCTCGAGTTTCCCCCAATTGTCCCATCATGGTCTCCAATAGTGAAATCTTTGGGTTATTGCATTTCCCATCATCTATACAAATTTTTGAACAAAACCCATTTCTTAAATCACTTGATTTCCCTTTAAAATTAAAATGGTACCCAAATTGCAGTACCTTAAATCCTAAACTGAATAGCAAAAAAATACCAAGCACATTGAACAACTGCCTAAAACACCCAAATACGAAAAACCCACCTCCAAAATCACTGTTCCGAGTAAAAAATGAAACACAATCCATAAAGAGAAACCCCAAAATATATTCCAAAAATCTCTTATAAAAATCAACAACAGAGCAAACAATCAGTAGCAAACAAAAGTGACCCAAAATCCGCATGAGTCTTCAGTCCAAGTTTGAATCACCAAACTCAACATCACACACATAAACCTATTGAACCGATCACCACAAATATATGTTTATGAATGTATCTCTGTTCTGTAGACTGTAACCCACTAGACAAAGGATGAGATAAAAAGAAGTATGGAAAGACTGACCTTGTTAGACTGAAGAGCGAGAGAGAGAGCGAGAGAGAGCGAGAGAGAGTGGTGGATTGGGGAGCGAGAAGAGAGGCGTGAAGTTCGAGGCAAACGCGTTATCAGAGTCAGAGCAATGGTGAGTGGGATGAGAGAGATGGCTCTGAAAATGCCGTTTGAGAGGGAAGGGCAACGCTGGAAAGAGTGTAATAATATGTGGGGGCAGTTTGGTAGTTTTGAAACTTGTAGAAGATTCTGTCCGATTGTGATTTTGACTGATGTTCCCTCGCTCCACGAGGACATGTGTCATTTTATGGCAGCGCGTGGAAAATCTTCTGATTCGCCTTTATTTTATTTAGAATAATGTTTGAGGGCCCGAAATTAGTGGCTCGAATTTGGCTCAAAACCCAAAACGACGTCGTTTTGGGTTTTGATTTTTTTTTTCTCTTCTTCCTCTTCTTTCTTTTCTTCTTCTTCTTCGTTTTGAACCTGAGAAGCAGAGGTGAGAGAGAGAAACAGAGGGGAGAGGTGGGAGCTCGTCATCGCTCGTCGGCCAATCGTCGCAGCTCGTCGGTCATCGACCGATCGTCGCCTCTGCCTCCGCCTCTGCCACTGCCTCCGCCCGCCTCCACCTCCGCCTCCGCCTCCGCCTCCAGCCCTATTTTTAGGGCCCCCTCCAGTTCTGCTTCTCCTTCTCTTCTTCCTCATTCTCTTCTTCTTCTTCTTCTTCTTCTTCTTCTTCTTCTTCTTCCTCCTCCTTCTCAAATTCGAGCCAAATTTGGCTCAAAACCCTTTCGGGCTCTGTAGCACAGTTGAAGCGACACTCATAGCTATCTCTAGCGCCTCTGGCTTTAAACCCAAACTTGTCATACATGCAGTGGATATAAAAGAATGCGAAGCTCCAGAATCAAACAATACTTTAACCCAAGAATTCATAAGGATTAACATACCTTGAATTACTGATGGGTTATCAACATCTTCTTCTTCTTGGAGAGCATACATTCTCCCTACTGCTTGTTGGTTAGTCTCTCCTGGTTTCTTCCCATTTCCAGCTCCTTATGGCTGTGTTCTTGGTCGGCCTGCATTCCTAGAGGCTTGTGGCTGCCCCTTGTTGGTCTGAGTATTTTGAGTAGGCTTAGAACTTAGCCCAGGTTGGTATTTGTTGTATTGTTGTGCCCCTCGCTGATCCATAAATTACTCCCCACCTTGAGGACACTCACTTCGACGATGCCCCTGTTGACCACATCTGAAACATCTTCCTTTCCACTCATTTACAAAGCTTCCTCCTAGCTGGTTTCCTCGATTCTGCCTTTGTTGCTGTTGCATTCCTCCGGCATAAGGTGCTGGTGTAGGATGGTTTCTGGTGTTGCGGACTGGGCCTCCTTCGCATGGTTGGTTGTTGTTCCTTGATCGCTGATTCCGAATGCGTTCGGAATCTGCTAACTCTCATTCCACAATTAAAGCTCGATCCATCATTTGGGCATAGGTGGAGAGTTGTACTGCGATCAATCTTCCTTTAATGTCTGTGTCCAAACCCCATTCAAATCGCCTAACCTTATCCCCTTCATTTGCTATTATGGCTGAAGCATACCGTGAGAGAGCTTCAAAACGGTTCGCATATTGAGCGACTGACATTTTTCCTTGTTTCAGTTGAAGGAACTCTTGAATTATTTCTTGTCTTAGCGAGTTAGGAAAATACTTTTCCATGAACAAGCCTTCGAACTGTCTCTAAGTTAATGTCTCTACTTGTCGAGTACTTTTGATCATTTCCCACCAATGATCTGTTTCCCCTTCCATTTGAAATGCCGTCATGGTCACTTTATCTTGTTCATTTCGGATGTCGGAAGTATCTAGCAACTTCTTAATTTGTCTTAACCAAGCTTCAGCTTCATGGGGGTTTGGTCCACCAAGGAATTTGTGGGGACGTAGCTTTTCAAATTTTGCTATCATCTCCGATTTGTTTTGATCTTGGTTTCGGGGTGGTATATTGCCTACCCTATCAGCAATCGCAAGTATAATTCGAGCGACATCGCCATCAGGCACTCCATCACCATTACCGTTGTTATTATTTCTTGTTCGTCCAGCCATTCTGCCTGATGGGATTTTCTTGTGATTTATTCATTTATTTATTATCATTATTATTATTATACTTATGTGCAAGGATAATAATAATAAAAAAAAAGACTTCATTAATTAGATTAGATAAGCTACAATTAGCAAAATACAAATAAAACAAAGGAAAAGATTAAATAACATACTATGGGCAAGAGATAGCCCCTACAATCCGAGTTAACTCCTACACTCACAATTCTAAACTAGGCAACTTTTACATGTGAGCATATAAAATAATCAGTTAGCCTAGCTTATAGTTCCCTTAAGACCCCTTAAAATAGCCAAGGAAAGTCTCTCCACACAAGGACTTCCCGCTCCCATGTGGCTTGGAAAAGTCCCATGAATCGCCACAGCACCCTCACGAAGATAGCAGTTTCGCACACACGATGCCCTAGTAGCATCACCGGCTCCTCCCGATAGATCCTCCAGTCCCTGAAGTCCACTAACCCATCTGTCCTCACAATTCTGCTTGGGTCGGGCATGATATACTGAAGGCTCCAAAAGTCAAAAAGGTTACCCACTCTTTCGGTGAAACCGTCCGGAAAGGGGCCTGGTTGATATACCCAGGGAGTCTCTTGTCTTAGAATCTGGATAGGTCCGATATAGGTGCCCGCCCAACTCTCATTTTTCCAAGCACAACCTCCGAGGGGATAAAGTCTGACATATACAAAAGAGCCAATCTGCAACCCGTTTTGCACATCCCAACCCTCAAACGTGGCTCCTATATCTCCAGGGTTCCCCTCAGTATTGCCTTCCATAAACTCATCCTCAGTGTCTGACTCAATCACAATAACCTCCGGCGGGTTGTATATTGGTACAACTTCTTCAACTTCTTCAGACTCAGGTTCAGGCTCAAGTTCAGGATCAGGTTCAGGGTCAAGCTCAGGCTCAGATTCATAGTCTTCTATAGGCATTTCCACTTCTTCACTTGGGTCGGATTCTATGGATTCATAGTCTTCTATAGGCATCTCCACTTCTTCACTTGGGTCAGATTCTATGTCATAGTTTTCCACCGAATTTTCCTCGTTAGAGTTAAACAGTCGCAATTTCTTTACTCAATAACAAATCTTGGATATTTATTTCGACACGTAGGGCCAACGTAGTCTTAGGTTAGATATCTAGTTTAGTCACTTCCTCCATGATCTTGATTACATGAAAATCCAAAACTATAATGTCATTCATCCGATCCTTATGTTAATCGATATTGTTGTTATAGCCATTTTGTATTATGTTATCCTTATTACTTCTGTACCAACCTTGGGCTTAGAGTTACCGGTTAAAACTCTTTTGGTGTGACTCGTTTGTAATCAAAACCTAGCTAGATAAAATTTTAACTACTAATTAGGAAATTTTAAGTTCTTACAAAGCCAAAGTCCAACGACAAAATAAAACTACAAGTTCACACACGTCACAACATAGTTTAATCCTAATACAAGGGATAACAAGATTTTATTTTTGATAAAATCTTGACTCTAAGTCAGCCATGGTTCGATATTGGCAGCAGCTCCAATTTCAGCCTCAGTCCCTTCTTCGACATAACTTGGCATGAAACGCCAGGGCAACAAAATATATGCCATGAGTTTTGCAACACAGTAAGAAAACGTAACCAACCTACCATTCTTTTTAAGAGAAAAATAATAATATTCTAATTATGAGATAACAATATAATTATACACAGAATTTACAACCATTAGAATAATTTCAGTAATTTTTATAAATTAGGTGACACACGAAATCTCACCAAAGAGATTTAGCTTACCAACCACTAAGCATGGCAACGGTTAATTTGAAACCCTCCCTTGGTCAAATATTTAAGTGTTACCAACCGTAACTACCAGGGATGCCCACGTCCGGAGTTATATACCCAAGTAGTGGCATCCGTGGTCTGCCCCAAGGAAACGGTCTGCCAGGGGTAAGTAACCTCCCTGTGTGCCACCTGCACATCCACCCTTATTCCAAAATCGAATACCGAAAAGGGTTCAAATAAGTCCCGTGCCATCTTAGAGTTTCGCAACACAATTTACGTGAGAATTCTCAAAACCAGGGCTTACCCTGAACAACCGGTGTTGACCGTCAACCCTTAATTCCGTACAGTCTTTCAACCAAGACTCACCCCGAACAACTGGTATTAACCGTCAATTGTTACCTTTGTATATGCCGTTAATCATTTCAGTTAATTTTGATATTAATCACAAATAATTCTAAATTTTTAATCACAAGTAATGTTATACCAACTCATTAAAATTCCCAATCATAAAATATTGCATGTGTCACACAATACTAAATAAAAGTACCGAATTTAACTAAACAATTTATTTAAACCATGGTATGAAATAATAACTTAGATACCAGAATTAAACCATAAATACACACATGCACAAATTTTTGATTTACAAAATTAGACTAGCATAATATTAAAGTGGTGATTTCATCCTATCCAGAAAAATTTTCAGAGTATATATCTTGCAAATAAAATTATAAATACATTACTTATACAACTCTAAAATTCATATCAATCTACAGAATACTCAATAAACATGTTATGGTTATTTTTCAGAAAACATTTTCCAAAATATAACTTATAAATAATTCTAAACAAATTCCAAGGGTGTTTATGACACAGATTTGTCACATTTCCTTACATTAATTACATACTTAATTTTATAGATCAAATCCATAATCTAAAAATTTATCATGGAAATAGACTTCTCAAATTTCATCTTTTAGTTAGAAATTACCAGATTTGGCTTAGTATAGAATTTTAAATAAATTTTCAAATACATGGTAAAATCTGTCTCACAGTTTCAGATTTAATTAATGTGAGCATACAAAACAATTGGTTAGCCTAGTTTATAATTCCCTTAAGACCCCTTAATATAGCCAAGGAAAGTCTCTCCACACAAGGGCTTCCGGCTCCCATGTGGCTTGGAAAAGCCCCA